ACTCACTGGTTATTAATGGCATTACAGACTATTGGGTGTCTATTTAAAATGTATAAAAATTGCTAGATTACTGGTTATGAATTATAATTGTAGTTTTTCTGACAAAGACATTGATAACAGGTTTTAAAAATCATCTCAGGACGATGGCAAAATGAATTCGATGGATACTTACATTGTCATTCAATTTGCATTAGGTTAGTCAGTACCAAAGCCAAAATTGGAACTAATCTAACAGAATAACTCTCAAAAATGTGTATACCCAAATTAACATTTTGGTAAAAATATTAACTAAAATTTAAAAATAAACAGGAAAAACCAAGAGAAACATGAAAATACATACAATTTAGTTAAATGAAATGTTTCAATTTAAATTTATTATTTTTATTCCTAAAGAAGTTGGGTGACCACTTGATTAAACTTAAATGCATGACAAAAATTGTCATTATTCAGTGAGAAATGATTTTACAGTGAACAATTGTTTTAATGGTTTGATACATGCCAGAGGGTAAAGAACAGGACAACATTGTTATTTTGATGCACATTAATAATCTAAAGACTGTCTTTGAAATACATGGTGAGTTGTTGGCTTCATATCTAAATTTGAAATTTGAACACCGTAACAACTGTGAACATTTACTGTATCATGATGTCAGTTTGTTTCCTATAGACAAATTACCATATTTGTAAACATTCAGGATATGTGTGCTGCGAAGTTGCAGAAAAAAAACAGGATCGCTAACATTTACAGCAAGGGAATGAGATCCGATGCAGTACAGAGTTTGTTGTTGTCTTTGAAATAAGTTATATTGATTACATATTATAAATATTATTTACATAATGCTTTCAGCGATTATAACAGCCCATAACCCAGTGATAAGCACAGTGATTCTGCAAAATTAACGTTAAAGTGAGCGGCGTTCGTCTGACAGGTCTTTTTGCTATTATACACTCCCAATGGATAATGGATGAGACGAAATGGCCAAGCATCCAGCCCCAACTATACAATCTCATTGAAGCTTTCAGTGATTTTACAAGAGAGAAGTTAAAGGCCTAAAAGTCTTTGGATGCCAACAATTTTGTTCTGTGTGGTCATGTGCAAGAAATATTGTTCCATAATTAACAGATTCAAAACATTGTAGTGCTAAAAACCGAGGTTCTGCCTAGCCAAAGACAAGGAAAAAAATGGAACAATAGAAGGCCTGGGTAATCATGAACAAGTAAAACTACTACATTCTGACAGCGAACTACACCTGCACACGCTGTCCTCTTTTGTATTTGTCTTCCATGGACGACCAATCTTTTTGGGGGACTTGAATGAGTTTGTGATGTTGTAAAGATTCAATATTCTTGAAATCACTGAAAGTTAGGCTGCCAGTTAAAAAGAAGTTGACAGATAATGAAGAAAATTAGCACCAGGTGCCAAATTAACGCCAATAACTGGCTGTTATCTGAAAGTGTTCTCTAATTTTGATGAGTGTGTTTTCTGCAAAATGATGGTTTTTGTTGAAATGCCTTATGCCGAGTTCAGACTGCATGATTTTAGCCTCGGTTTTGACTCGCCGACAGGTTTTTAGAAATCGCAGACAAATGGCTAAAATCACAGGCAAGTCTGTGCTTGTGCACGTGAATGACAATCACACAGTGTGAACTATCAAAGACGTGATCTGAGAGAATCGCCGATGAGTCGCCGATGCCCGTGAGATATTTGGGGTGCTAAATATCTGGAGCTGTTGGCGATTCAAATCATGCCGTGTGAAATAAGTTTTGACTGAAAATAACATCAGCGATCGCCTACAGCCAATGAGAGAGCAGCATTCACTTGTGGTTGTGTGTGTGTGTGTGTGTGTGTGTGTCTGCAGGTCAGTGGGAGGCTGGGGGTGAAGTTAAAAGCCCTCATTTTCAGTTTATTTAGACCCAAGGAATGGTGGAAAAACTAGTGGAGGTTTGACAGGAGCACCCATGTCTGTTTGACGTTTCATACAGAAAGTTAAAAAAGAAAGTTGAGGAGAAATTGCTAATTCCCTTCAAACCCAGGTGAGCAAACATGTACATATTCTACCCCATTAAAGGCTTCTTTCTCATTATGTAGTTAATTACAAAGGATATACTACGTGTTTTTGGCTGTGAGATGTAGTTTGGACAAAGTTGTCGGCGATTCTTCCTAGGGCTGTGCAATTAATCGAAAATCCGATTTCAATTTCGATTTTGGCTTCTAACGATTACGAAAAACCATTAATCGAGATAAACGATTATTGCATCATTTACCGCCCCCTTTCCAGCTGTACACGTGTTGCTCTTTAAAGGGCGAAAGACCGCATCATTCTGTGTGTGTGTGCAACCCTTTCCCCCAATTTCTGTTCAATGGAAAGAAGATTTCCGAACATAATAGTTTTGATATCCCGTTTCTAATTACTGATTTATTTTGTCTTAGTCATGATGACGGCACACAATATTTGACTAGATATTTTTCAAAATACATGCATTCAGATTCAAAGTGCGATTTAAAGGCTTAATTATTGTAATTAGGCAGGTCATTGTATAACAGTAGTTTCTTCTGCAGACAATCAAAAAACTTTTTAAAAGACTTTTAAATGGCTTTCAAAATATTTAAACCTGCTTTTATTCTAGCCAAAATAAAAATTTAAAAAAGCCTTTCTCCAGAAGAAAAAATATTAGAGGAAATACTGTTAAAATTCCTTGCTCTGTTAAACATCATTTGGGAAATATTATTTTAAAAAAATTCTCAGGAGCGCTAATAATTTTGACTAACAGTAATCGTTTTGAATAATCGTGATTACAATTATTACCAAAATCATCGTGATTATGATTTTTCCCAAAATCGAGCAGCCCTATTTCTTCCTATTGTAAAGTCATGCAATGTGAAAGCCCCTGTCGCCGATCCATCTTGCAGTGAAAACAAAGCAGCGACAAAACGCTAGCCCAGATAATCATGCAGTGTGAAAATATCTGTGACACGACTACTTTGAAAATCATGCAGTCTGAACTCGGCATAAGTTATTTTGGGGAAAGGGTGTTCTGGAAGCATGATATAGACAGAAAAAAAAAACTTGGGTAACACTTTATAATAACTACACACTTCAAATCATTTATTAAGCATTAGCAAATAGTGAATTTATTATCTGTTAAGCATTAACTCTACATTAATAAGCGTTAGTAAGCAGTTTATAACTGCAGCTACAAATGCTCTATTCTTGACTTACAAACATATTTAAAATGTGCTTAATAATTGTACTTTCATACTTTGTTAATCATTTATTTTTCATTACTAAATTAAGTATCACATTATTTACAAACCATTTGTATTTAAGAGTAGTTGAGGGTTTTTAGGATCATTAAGAATGAGTTAGTAAATTATTATTGAACTATTGAAATCAACGTTTATATATCCTATTATTCAGGCATATAGTAATGGTTACTATGTATGTTAATAAATGCTTTATTAACTCAACTTCGTGCAGTTTTGTGACCTAATCTAAAGTGAGGACTATTCATGCTTCATAAATCCCCTATAAATGACAAATAAAGGCTCAGTTAAATTCTAAACAGAAAAAATTACATTATCCATTCATATTAATTTAAAGAAACACAAATGAAACTGTACTTCAAATAAAAAATAAATCGTTGCAACCTTATCTGAAATAAAATCACTGTAGAGTTTAAACATTGCATCTTATTATATTGTTAAATTATTATATTGTTGTTGTTGTTTTATGTCGTATTTTGACACTCCTGTTATTCGGCAGTGATCGAACTTTACAGTAATTTTACTTTTTAGAAAAGATTGCAAAGATTATTGCTCATTTGATTCTAAACCTTTAATAATCATGTATAAGGGATTTATGAAGCATAAACAGTCCTCACTTTAGATTAGGCCACAAAACTGCATGAAGTTGAGTTAACAAAGCATTTATTAACATATTAGTTGACTATTAGTATATGCCTGAATAATAAGACATATAAATGTTGATTTCAATAGTTAATAATCATTTACTAACTCATTCTGAATGATTTTAAAAACCTTCAACTACTCTTAAATACAAATGTTTGTAAACAATGCGATACTTTATTTAGTAATGAAAAATAAATCATTAGCTAAATATGAAAATACAATTATTAAACACATTATATAGGTGCTAATAAGTTAAGAATACAGCGCTTGTAGCTGCAGTTATAAACTGCTTACTAACGTTTATTAATGTAGAGTTAACGCTTAACAAACAATGAATTCACCAGATGCTAATGCTTAGTAAATGATTCATAGTGTGTAGTTATTATAAAGTGTTACCAAAACTGGTTCAACTGTTGAGCAGTGAAAATGATATTACTTCAGAATTGTTCAATTATTTATAAATTGTTCTCTAATTTTATTTGCCAGTGTATTTGTCTCAATGATTATGACAAAAAAAAAAAAAGACATGAAAAAACCCAAAGGCAGCAGTTGATGTGTTATAGTACTCTTACATGAGATTAGGATATAAGAGGTATGGAAAAAACTATCATTCAATTCACGAGTTCACACTTACAGATGTTTTAAGAATACAGCATATTTGGCGTGTCATCCAGGGAGAGGGCTCTGAGCTCAGAAAAGACACCCCAACTAGTGTTATTCCCCTTAGCAGGAAAGAAAGAGCATTGGGGTTCGAATGAAGTGTCTAACCCAGCCCCAGAACACTACCCGGGGGTAGATAATGTTTAAGAGGTGAGGTGTGGGGGTGGTGGAGGGATGCTAAAGTCGTGAGATAATGCATGTAGGACAACTTTTGGTATTTGTAGGGGTTTGATCTAATGCTGATTGGATAATAGAATGATTGTCAAAGAGGTATAAGAATTGCTGAAACATCTGCGCATGCTCCTCTTGAAATTTGTTTATAAAACATCACTATGTGTATTGTCATCTCATGGACACAGAAATTGTGACATCACATGACCGCTAAATATTACTAACCAGTCAAAAGTAATCTGTCTCACTCTCACCTCAGGTATTGACCGAACTGAAGTCTGATAACCAGCGGCTGAAAGATGAGAACGGAGCCTTAATTAGAGTCATAAGCAAACTTTCCAAATGAGGAATACCAGATGAAGAGGAAAAACACTGAACAGAGAAAGACCAAAATATTTGATTGCACCTGATCATTGTTATGCAGGGTAATGGTTTTGTCATATCTGCTTTTGGTGCATCAGATCCAAGGCTAAGGGGATAACAAACATTAAACATTCATTTGCTCATGCTCATGTCACTCCATACCTGTATGAATTTTTTGATTTTTGGGAAGCATGGAGATAATACAAGAGATGTCCCTTTAACCAACCCTTAACAAAAATTCAGAGTTTGCATGGTTTCCTGTGGCCTAAGCTCGCTTAGGTATTTGATGTGATGATATAGAGCTATTGTAGGCCTTGATGTACTTGGAGCAAAGTTCTGTTTTAGTTATTTACTTTTGGGGGGAAAATACCTGATGTAAAACTGCCTGGTACTGATGAAGGTTTTTATCCATGGAGTGAAACTTCCAAAACTCGAAAACATACTTTATCTTGCTCTGATTTTATTTTGAAATTATCAACACTGAGTTGTTCCTCAATTTTGCTTAAATATTTTAATATCATGGCCTTCATTGACCTGGTAATAGTCCAGTTTTGCTGGTGAGAACTTGGTTGATTGGTTAATAAAGTTCAAAAACATCTATTGAACTAATTGACCTATTACCCCATCTTAAACTGTGTTGTGCAGTGTGATACTCCAAAAACATTGATACCACAGTTTGTGTTTTTAAGCATGACCACAAAAATGTTCAATGAATTTCAAGTTTTCTACTGTTAGCCCTTTTTAAAGCCCTGCTTAAAGTACCTGTTGAAAAGACCAGAGTGTGAATGGTGAATGGGTATTTGCCCTGGAGAAATTTATTCATAGTTCCTTTAACTATTAGGCGGCAATTTTTGTATCACAGGAACTGGGAACAAGTTTAAATATTTAAACTGCTTTTAGGAAAACTAAAGTAGTTATTGTTTTAGAGCAGGGTCCAACTCAGCACAATAGGAACTACCGTGCCAAAAGTTTTGTGTTAGGCAAACATGTCATACAAATCCACATGTAATAATTATAATAATAATATAATAATAATACAAATGTCTCCAAAAACTATTGTCCCTAGAGTCTAAAATGGTCCCAGCTGATTGGAGAGACCCCAAATGGTGCTTCTTTGTTATAGGAACTGTTTGGTGTGTACATACCACAGGTACAGGCAACTTCATTTGAGAAAACTAAATTGCCCACTAGCATAGTCTCATTTTAGAAAAACAGAAATAGTTTACCATTTCACATATACTGTACTGTACTTCCAAAAAATATTGCCACAAACAAGACAGTCATAAATTGGCTCGACCAAGCTCTAGGTTCTTGTCATCGGTTCTCTAAAGACCTACTTGCAGATTGAACGCAACCAAGGGGAAAAAAAAAATGGTTTTTTTTTTTTTTTTTTTTTTTTTAGGCAGGCCATCCTGGTGAACATCCTTGTGCAAAATTCCCTTACAGTCTACACTGGTCCAAACTGATTTGAAGGACCCCAAATGGTGCTTCTATGGGGCATTTGCATTAGAGGATGTTTTATAGTTCTTAGAACTATTGGCAGTGCATCCCCTTTTTGGTCTGTGCAGAACAAAGCTACTGGGAATAGAAACTCCTTTTAATTAAACTAAGTTGGCTACTATTTCATAGCATAGTTTTAGAACGAGAGAAACATTTTAGATACACTGCACTTACTTCCGAAAATATTGCCTGAATCAAGATAGATCAAGTCATAACTTGGCTGACACCAAAGTCAATGTTCTTGAATGACATCCAAAACATCCAAAATTCCTACTGGGAGAGTGAATGCAACCAAGTGGGAAAAATGTTTTGGATTGGTGAATAGTTCCTATAACTATAGTCCAAAAAAGCCCCTATATAGTATACACTGCACTCTCAGAATTAAAGGTACAAAACCTGTCACTGGGATGGTACCAATTTTGTACTTAAAATGTTTACATTGGTACTCTTAAAGTACTATAATTTAGGGTACACTTTTGTATCTTGAAGGACCTACACAATTGTACTTTTTTTGATATTATTATGTACCTTCATGGCACAAATGTGGCCCTGTAATGTACAAAAGTACCTTTTCATTGAAAGGTTTTCTATCTTTATTAATGAGAGTGGGCTACTATTTCAGCATGGTGTAATCCAGCACAATAGGAACTACAGCGACTTTTTATGCTGATTCATTGAACACAGTATGTTTCATAAAAACACCACTTTAAAGTGTTACAAGATGTTAGCATAAAGAATGCTAATCGGTTCATTTTTACTCAACATCCATAGATATATACATTAGATGTCACCTACCCTGTTGTTGTCTATTGGAAGGAATGCATAGATAGAGTCGCCATTTTAGTACAGGGTAGCGCTCCTTTGAAATAATTGCAGGACCAAGCTGCAGTGGAGGACTGTGGCCATCCAGAGCCAGAGATATAAACATATACACATATATCTATGATCGGGAAGTTTTCCCCGAGGTCATTATGCAATTTTCTTTTTTATTTCAAAAATTATAATTTCACATCACATTTCTACAGTACATTAATGGATAAATGTGTGTGTTTGTGTGAATGGAAATGTACTATTCACCCTCCCTGTTAGATTTGATCTATAATCCATGTCCTGAAACACACCTCTTCTCCTCCTTTCACTTCTCATTCTGGCAGAGGGAGCGATTTCTTTGTGAATGATTCTCCATTATGAACGACTCCTTCCCTTAGCCGACAATAATACAAGTTTCTGGCACCGCAGCATCTCTTTGTCATATTTCTATTGCATTGTTTGCTGATTTTACTCAACAAAACTAGCAAAAGCCAAGTATTCAGTGCAAGTTGGTGCTACTTTGCCTTCTGGCGAATGCAGTGACTATTATCATCAATAACGTTACCTGTTTAGCACAAAAGTTCATACCATGCAAAAGCATAAAAAAAAAAACAAATCTTCCCTATGAAATGTTTTCCCTTTGTGCTTTAACTCCTAGTGCAGTTAAATGACATTTGTCCTGGGAGCACTGTACCAATGTGGCGGCGCTATTGACGCATGCTCAGGGTCCGTATGCGATATCTAGTGTCTATATCTATGCTCAACACCAATGATATGCCAACACAATCTCACGGCAATTCGTAACTTTTTGATTTAGTGGCTAATTCGCATGAATTCGTACGATCTAATTCGTACAATTTAGTACGATTTGCTCATCCCCCAATGACGGTTGGGTTTAGGGGTGGGGTTGGGTGCCACGCCTCCTTTTTAAAATCAAACAGTTTTGTACGACTGAACTCACACGAATTTGTACATATTAGCCACTAAATTGCCAAAACGTAACGTTTTCTCGTGAGATCAGGCTGGATATGCACCAGTTCAAGTATTTAAGGGTGATTTTTGTCTCTTAGTCCATTTGTTTTGCAACTTTAGTTACATTACACATGTAATTCCAACTCTATTATCACAAAACCCACACATTAATCATGACACTTTAATTATGTCATCCTCTGTCCTCCACTTGTTGATTTTGTGCGGTACCATACTTGTTGTCATCGTTGGTTGTCATTTTAGAGTTTCTACCCACATAGCAAAATTTCTCTGGCCCAGCTCTGGCCCACACAATCAGGTTTTGCTTGGCCCACATGCCGCAGTGAATTACGGTACATAACTGGACCAAATCTGGCTTCCAGACAAGGGCCAAACACAGACCATATCTGGGCCAAGTTAATAACTTATAACTGGGCCTGAACTGGGCCAGATAGGTTGGTGTGTGACGATTACAATGAAATTGATAAACCCATGGAGTGATGCGCTTTAGGCACACTATGGGCACGCTTTTTCTCAAAGTGACCTGATTGGTAGAATTTTTTTTCTTTACTCAAAAATGATTTTAGTGTATTTTAAATGTGGGTCAAGACTGGCCAAACTCACATGGCCCACTTATCAAATTTTTAAATCTGGGCCAAATACTACGTTTTTCATCTGGCCCAAATCTTGTGTGCCGCCTTAAAAACGGTGCCACCTCTGCCAAACCCGGGCCATGTTTGGCCCACAGGCTGTATGCCAGTGCTGGATGAATGCCTGCTGTGCCAGCTTTTTGCCAAATCTGGGCCAGAATTCTTTGCTACTAGGGTAGTGATGGTCGAATACAATCAGGAATTTGAGACTGGGGAAAACCTTTCAGGTGACATGATCGATAACTAGGTTCTTAGAATAAGTTGCTTCCATCTACCCAGTGCTAAAGCCATCCATGACTCTGCTGCCAAACCTCCTCACACTCCTAAGATGGTAAACTTGTTAGGAAGTCTTGTGGGAACACCAGCACACTATTATCTATGGGCAAGCGTCCAAACCACAGCACCGGTCACCAACTGCTCTGGTCATTTCAGCAGGGAAGAGCTGTGCAAACTGCCATTCCTTTGAACAGTATTTGACCATAAATCAAACCGAACTGTCCTGAAGCAGTCGTTGGCCTAATATAGTCCAGTCGGGTCCTCAGAAGCTCTGCCAGAATATTCTAAAAGGAATGTTCCCACTGAGAGACGACGTCACTCTCTTTTAACTCGCTTCATATCAACACATCTGTCCTGTTTACTTTTACGCTCGCAGTGTTTATATATGAACCAAAAGGCTGAAGAATAGATACATGATACCATTGTTGTGTTTATATTTATTTATGCCTTTGTGTGTAACTAAGAGCAACTATATGGATCAAACAAACACCACACACAATATGCCATTTGAAATGCTGTGTTTATTTTCATTGTCCACCGTTTGTAACCTGTATTCTTGAACCAATGCTCACAGCACTTTGTTTATGATTGTGTTTGTTCTTTGTTGTTAGCGTGTTACTATTATTAAAAACACACTGTAAACTACAAGTCAAGTGCTTTCTTTATTTTAGGTGCTATGCTGCCCTCTGTCTGCCTGCGTCATCATCACATCTATTATATCAAGCTCATGTGTTTTGCAGGAATGTGTTCCTTGGCATAGTTGTACACAGCTACTATTGTACACTTCTACTGTACTACTTCCGTCTTTCTAGGGCAGCCGATTAAAATGTTATTACTTGATTAAATGGGCGTTATCAGCTGGTAGATATGGGCCAGTATGGGCCTTCTGCTCCTACTGGAAGGCTCAGAAGGCTGTTATCATCCATCCACATGGTTAATCAGCTATAGATCACATATGGCTGTGGTCAGAAATTAACTATTATTTACATTATTTATTAAATTTCCCATTAATTGCATTTTATTAACATCTACCCCCTACCCCAATCCCTATAACCGTCACAGTAATGTACAAGCAGATCTGGAGTCCTCTCTATTAATACAGCTGATTAACCATGATAAATGTTTATTAAATTTTCCATTAATTGTATTATATTAATGTTCACCCCTACCCCAATCCTAAACCCAACCATCACAGTAATGTGAAAACATTTCTGGATCTGGAGTCTTCCCTATTAGTGTAGCTGATTAACCATGTGGATGGATTATAACAGCCTTCTGAGCCTACTAGTAGGTGCAGAAGGCCCCATATCTCAGCTGATAATAACTGATAATGTCTGTTCAATTGAGTTATAACATTCGAAGGAATGTAGCTCTGCAACTATTATTTTAGTTATGTACTTCTAGTATTTGTTTTCAGTGTTGGGCACGTTCCTTTAAAAGATTAGATTAGTTACTTGTTACTTCTCAAAAATAGTAACTGGTTTAGTAGCGGAGTTACATAATTATAAAAGTAACTAATTACCAGGAAAAGTAATTATTTTGTTACTTTAAAAAAATCATTTGTCAATAGAAGATGCTTGCTAGCATTTTGCTTAGACAGGCTTTTCTTTGGGAGAAACACTTAATACTTCATTACCCGTGACTCGTTTGTGTTTTGACCACATGTGCTTGGTTGTATACTATATCAATACAATGTTTAGTCTTTAATAACACTGTTGCAAGACATTGAGCCACTAAGCATTGGCCTTATGATGTTTTTCCATAGGAGGAAATGCAAATTACTTCTAAATACTTGACAAATACAAATACTTGCAAATTACTTCTAAATGCAGACATAACACTGTATGACAACCCTTCAGATGACTGTTCTATAGCCAACAGTTAATCAATCTGTCAGATTCAGGAGTGCATTCAAGTTCTTAAGAAAAATATAAATGATAAATGATCTTAGATAAAACATATACATTTATAGAAATGGTATATGAATGTATAATTTCACTTACCTGGGAAATGGAGGCAACTTGAATGGTTGTGAGCACAATTAAGTGCACACAGCATCCCATATTATCTGATAATTGTAGGAAATAATTCCAAAAGGCATATGACTGTGTAAAGCCACATAAAACAAAACAAACGTAT